AAACACTAACTGATGAAGATCAAGGATTACAGCCTTCAATATGGGTTACACCTCAACGTAAAGAAAACAAAAATCCTCACAACTAGACCAATAAGCAACATCATGATAAAGACTGAAGTTGTAAAGGATTTTATTTTACTTGGATCCACAATCAACACCCATGGAAGCAGCAGTCAAGAAATCAAAGAGATATTGTATTGGGCAAATCTGCTGCATAAGACCTTTTTAAAATGTTTAACAGCAAAGATGTCACTTTAAGAACTAAGGTTCTCCCAACCACAGCCATGGGGTTTTCAATCACCTCATATGCATGCAAAAGCTAGATAACGAATAAGGAAGCCCGAAGAAAAATTGAGGCCTTTGAATTATGGTGTTGGCGAAGAATATTAAATATATCATGAACTGCTAGAAAAATGAACAAATCTGTCTTGAAAGAAGTACAACCAGTGTCATGGATTGAATTGTGTCTCCCCAAAATATCTGTCAACTTGGCTGGGTCATGATTCCTAGTATTGTATGATTGTGTACCATTTTGTAATCTGGTGTGATTTCTTTATGTGTTGTAAACTCTATCACTGTGATGTAATAAGATGGATTAGCGGCAGTTATACTGATGAGGTCTACAAGATTAGATAGTGTCTTAAGCCAATATCTTACGAGATATAAAAGAGAAAAGCAAGCAGAAAGACATGGGAACCTCATGCTGCCAAGAAAGGAGTGCTAGGAAGAAAGCACATCCTTGGGATCTGAGGTTCCTGCGCTGAGATGCTCCCAGACCTAGGGAACACTAATGCATCACAAGGAACTTCCTCCAGAGCCAATAGAGAAAGAAAGCCCTGGAGCTGATGCCTTGAATTTGGACTCGTAGCCTACTGGACTGTGAGATAATAAACTTCTCTTTGTTAAAGCCATCCACTTGTGGTATTTCTGTTACACCAGCACTAGATGACTAAGACAACCAGAATGCTCCTTTCAGGCAATGATGGTAGGACTTCATCTCACATACTCTGGACATGTTATCAGAAGGGACCATTCCCTGGAGAAGGACATCATGCTTGGTAAAGGAGAGGATCAGTGAAAAAGAGGAAGACCCTCAAAAAGATGGACTGACACAGTGCCTGCAACAATGGGCTGAAGCATAACAATGATTACAAGGATGGTGCAGAACCAGGCAGTGTTTCGCTCTGTTGTACATAGGGTTGAAATGAGTCAGAATCGACTCAATGGCAACTAACAACAACAACAGACTGGGAAAAAATTTTGACGATGACATATCTGACAAGGGGCTAATCTCTAAAGTTTATAGAAAATTTCAAGACCTAACAACAAAAAGACAAAAACCCAATTAAAAAATGTGCAAAAGACATCAACACAATTCACCAAAGAAGACATCAAGATGGCCAACATATACATGAAGAAATGCTCACAATCTTTAGCCATTGGAGAGGTGGAAATCAAAACTACAATGAGATACCATTTTACCCTAACAACAATGGCAGTGATCAAAACAAACAAACAAACAAAAAAAGCATATGCTGGCAAGGCTGTGCGTAGACTGGAACTGCAGGTTGGAATGTAAAATGGTACAACCTCTGAGGAAAACGGTATGGCACTTCCTTAAAAACCTAGAAATAGAAATACCGATATGATTTAGCAATTCCACTTCTAGATATATATCCTAGAGAAACAGAGCCATGACAAGAATAAATATATGCACACCCATGTTCACTGCAGCATTATTCACAATAGCAAAAAGATGGAAACAACATAAGTGCCCATCAACAGATAAATGGATTGACAAAGTATGGTTCATACACACAATGCAATACTATGCAACATTAAAGAACAGTGATGAATCTGCAAAACATCTCACAACATGGATGAATTTGGAAGGCATTACGCTGAGTTAATCACAAAAGGACAAGTATTGTATGAGATTTATTAAAAAATGTCCAGAAAATGTTTACACCCAGAAAGAAATATTCTTTGATGGTTACCAGGATGCGAGGCAGAGGGTGATAAAATCACTAGCTAGATAGTAGACACGTGTTACTTTGGTGAAGGCAAAGACAATACACAAGATGGGCAAAGTTAGCACAACATGAGCAAGGCAAAGAAAGACACTGAGACATACACATAAGTAAAAGAAAACAACAGTAAATAATATTACCTATACAATCTTGCAACAACAGTAAAAACAATAATTTACGATTGCATACATAAGTAGATATGTAAGCTGAACAGATGGGGGAAAGCACATAGGAGTACACCCACGTGCATATATAGGTTTGGGAGTGAATATTTCTACATATGTGTTGCAAATATCTCCGTATATATAATAGAGCACACAGGAGGCATAGTTATGAAAACTTCTAAGCCATAACCAAACTGAGGGGACTGAGGTGCTGGGCTTGAGGGCTAGGGACCATAGTCTCAGGGGACATCTAGCTCAATTGGCATAACATAATCCATAAGGGCAATGTTCTACATTCTATTTTGGCATAACATAATCCATAAGGGCAATGTTCTACATCCTATTTTGGTGAGTGACGACTAGGGTCTTAAAAGCTTGTGAGAGGCTGTTTAAGATACAACTACTGGTCTCTCCCCATAAGGAGCAAAGAAGAGTGAAGAAAACCAAAGACTCAAGGAAACAACTAGTCCAAAGGACTAAAGGTCCACATGAACCACAGTCCCCTCTAGTCTGAGACCAGAAGAACTAGACAGTGCCAGGCTACCACTAAAGACTAACCTCTTTTAAAATATTAATTAGAATTTGTAAATGAAAGAGTAGCAAAGAAAAATTTCAAATTCCTTATTAGATGATTAGAATATACTAGTTCAATTAACTCCAAGAATTGGGTGATTCTTTTCCTTTTGGCTAAAATTGCTAGGGTCAAGTCAATAGACTCCCTGCCTTAGACTATTCAACTGCTTGAGTTTTGAGGTTTGCTTTGACACTTTGGTTTCAAAAGTTTCAAAAATTGTATTTTAATAGCAAAAATGGACCAATCTAATGAAGTAGCTTCATAAAATTTCTTTAACAAATTAATAACACCAAGACATAGAAATGATTAATGTAAACTAAATTACTTTTGGAAAAAAATAGCAGAAAGAATTCTCCTTCATATGAAATGTCATGAATCAGGTATTTCTTCAAATGTACAAATTTTAAATATTGAAATAACATTATAATTTATAAAATTAATAGATTTAAGGAAAAAATTCACAAAATGATGCTATATATGTTGATAAGACATTTAATAAAATTCAATCTACTTATTGATAACATATGAAGAGTTGGATCTTCCATAACATAATATAATATCTCAGTCCAAAAGTCTTTATCATATTTAATGGAAAAACCCTAGAATCCTATCATTAAAGTGACAATCAAGAAAGGATGGCTACTATTATGTAAACTGTTCTGAGTATATTATATTAAACAATACAATTATATTAAAATTTTGAAATAAATGGTTAAAATTAATGTTATTTAAATATGAGTTATGTTAGAAATATCCAAGAATATCAATCAGAAGCTACTATAAAAATAAGAAAATTCAATAAGGAAGATGGGAACAACATTACAAATAGGAAATATATATAAAACCAAAACCAAACCTGATGCCGTGAAGTCCAACTCATAGCAACCCTATATGACAGAGTAGAACTGCCCCATAAGGTTTCCAAGGAGCACCTGGTGGATTAGAACTCCCGACCTTTTCGTTAGCAGCAGAGGTTTTTAACCACTACACCACCAGGGTTTCCATAAATTATATATACGTATTATAAATATGTGTGTGCTTGTGTGTTCATGTGTCTCTGTATGTGTGTACGTCTGAAGACAGGACTGAATAAAAGTACCTCATTTACCGTAGCAAAAAAAAATTATACAGTATTTTAGATGAAAAAACTTAAGAAGAAATGTAGAATATCATGTATATAAAACTAAAAGAAAACTTGAACAAATAGACTAACATGGGAATATTTTGATGGGATTCTGATAACAGCTGTACTGGAAACTAAAGGGACCAGAAGAGAAATTTTTCATTGGCTCTTGGTATTGGTATTTGTACCTTGTAAGGGAGAGAAAGAAGGCACTTTACAGGTAGGATTTGGAAATAAGGTTGAAGAAGGAATAACTGAAACTAGCAGAAGAAATATTCCATGAAGCAAGCAAAAGCAGGATACTTATAATGTTAATTTTAATAGGGATATTCTCATTTATACTCTCAATTTTCAGACAACATTTTTGTGTGGTTTTTCTGGGGGGGGACCTTTTTAAATTTTCTTAAATTTTAATTTTAGTTATTTTTTTAACTTAATTTTAATTATAGTTCTTATTAAACTTATGAAACAAAACTGATCTAAAAGTCTCATTGTTAACCTAAACCATTTGTTAAGATTTGGTAGTCATTGGATCAGACATTATAAACTGCAAAACAGCCACCTTCCTTCCTCTTCCCTGCTAACAAAACCATCATTTTGTTTAGTACCCCATGAACTTCAAGACAGACTGAACCCTCCCCAGGTGCAGAGGTGAGTCATGATTAGTCTAAATCATTAATGGCAAATCTATCCCCATTGCCCATAGTTGGTTTGGGAATATGCCTGTAAAACATTTTTGAACACTGAACTAAGTCAAGAAGTCTATAATGGTCTGCCAGGAGTCCTTGATGAGGTCTTGCATTACTAATCAAGGACCAACCAGGAAGTCACTTGCCACTGACCTTCTCACTTTGAAATAATCAATACTTTCAATATTTAAGCCATTCTGGGTTGCGTCTTTGATTACATGCTGCTGTAAAATATTGTAACTGATATATATTAAATATTTAATTTGTCTAGCTTTTAGTATGTTTATATTATTATGACCAGTATAAATATGAAAAAAAATGAATCAGAGAGAGGTTGGATATATTTCTCAAGGTTATAGAACTACAAAGTAGATAGAGTTAGGATACTGTCTCCCATTATTTAGAAGGCACTCTACTCACCATCACTGACCCCCACACTGGGTACCCAGGGTATACTGAAATGGGATTTAGTACACTAAATGGCAAAGAGACACACATCATTATTATTCCCAAGCTGAAGTTCATCAAACCAATCAGGATCTGGACAACCTAGAAATGAAGACAAAAGTAAAAACCAATTATCCACCACAGAAATGGTGCCCAAGCCACCCTTTCTCCAATCACTGAGTTACCCTTCTTCTCAATCTTTTGAAATAGTTAAATGTGGTTCTTGACATTCTCGTGTCTCCTTTTTTTCTCCATATAAACCAAAAAACCCAAACTCTTTGCCATCAAGTTAACCCTACAGGACAGGGTAGAACTGCCTCATAGGATTTTCAAAGACAGGCTGGTGGATTCAAACTGTCAACACTTTGGTCAGCACAAGGCTCTTAAACACTGCAACACCAGGGCAGAACTGTGAATATAGCAACTTACAAAAATGATCTTTTGGGATATCTATCTTTGCCCCAGGTATTTTAAACTAAAAAAAAATGACTGCTCCAGGACCTGCTCAGACACTATACTGGTACTCAGGATGTTACTCCTATGACAACTGTTGCTCTCCTTTATCACATGCCCAGACAGGGGAGACACAAGAGTTAGAAGAAAGTCTTCTAGCAAGGATAAGTGACCTTAAGGAAAGACAGCTCATATACGGGAAGAAGGAAAAGACCAAATATGATATTTTCTTGTGGTCTGGAACCTGAGGCCATGACTGTGATGACAGAGGTCAAAACTTATAGGGGCATTTGAGTACAGTTGCCTCATGGCACTCAAAAGGATTCAAAGTGTCCACAATGACTTTGTCCCAGTGTTTGGAAGCCAGAGCTACAGATATACTTTTATATTCACTGTCCTTCCACTAGCATTAACCTTTCTTTCTTTACACCCTTCATTCCTGTTAGGAAAATCCACCTAAGACTCCAGAGGGGAAATGCAGAGAGATTATAAGAGTTTTCATCATCCACAGAGTAGAACTGGCTGAGAAAATGACCTAGAGAGAGATACTAACAATAATAGGCAGCCATCATGTCTCAGGAAGGCCTGTGGAGGGGACACCAGCTAGTCCACACACAGCCTTTTCTTTTGCTGTTCTTCCATGTGGAAGTTAAATATATTTCTCATCGACGAACACATGGATTAGAAGCATGATATAACAGAGTATTTTGCCTTTTTTTTTTCAATTGATAGGGCCTGAACATCAAATACCACTGTCCTGAAGATCAGTTGACGTGATATGAGGCTTGTAGGAGAGAGTGTTTGTCATTAGGTCTGATCAGTTTTGAGTTTACAACATCATTGGTCTTCTCCCAGATCTGCACCTGACTTACCCCAAGGACCTTGGGTTCCCCCTTCAAGAATTTCTCTGGCATCCCTTTCCACATGTATGAGTGTAGAGTAGCAGGCTTTCCCATCTGGGGTACACCAGGCCCAGCCCCTGGTGTGGTCTGTTGCAGTTCCTGCAGGGTTGTCATGGCAGCAGAAAAGGTGCTACAATAAGAAACATAATTCAGAACAAGGTCCAGGAGATGACAGGAGAGCGGCACTTTGAGGCAGGTTCCTCTATAAGACAATCTCTGGTCTGCATTCCTTCACTAAATTAAAAATTTGTTAGGACATTTCACAAAATGTTAAAGAGGGAATTCATTTCCAACATCCCTGATTTGCTCTTGTTTTGGGGAGTGAGGAAGGAGGGGATTATATGATCAGTAAAGCATGATATTCATTTTGCTGTGTGGACAGTGGTTAAGTCTTTCTTTTGCAATTTGTTTCAAAGATTTTTCAAAACAGTCAGGGGTGTCGTCTGCTTCCTGCTTGCATGGAATAAGCTAAACACAACTAGGCAAAGCCAGACCAGGGAGCTCTCCTTTTTCTCTTGCAGTCTCTGCTCTGATGAAAAGCCGGTTAGTAAAGTAGGTAACTGTACATTTGACTCAAAGGGCCGAGTAGAATAACCCCATAGGGTTTCCAACACTATAAAGCTTTAAGGAAGCTGACTGCCACATCTTTCTCCCATGGAGCAGCTTGTGGGTTCAAATCGTCAGCCTTTCGGTTAGCAGCCAAGTGCTTAACCACTTGTGCCCAGGGCTCCTGACAATAGTGTTTCCCTCATTAATCCTCCAATGGCATTTCACTGCTCTTAGCATAAGGTTAAAATCTTTAAGGTGGTTGAGAGAAGAAACTCCGCTACTTATCCCACATCTATTACCCTAAACTTACCTTGAATCTCTCTCCTTTTTATTTTCAAAGCCCAAATAGACTTGACTTATTTCAGTTCTTCCAAATCAGCAATCTCTTTCCTATACTGAGGCATTTGCACTGGTTGAACCTATTGCTAGAAATGTTCTACCCCTTCCATGGTTGCCCTGCAACAAAAACCCACCTCAGCATTTGGTCCTTCTCATTCACTGGCATTATTACATACGCTCTGCCTTCTCTCAGACACAACTCCCCACCTCCTCAACTTCTCACAAATGGCTTAATCTATGACGATGACAGTGGTTTAAGCAATCTGTTACTTCTCTCTGAGACCCTAGAAGCCAAAATTGTTATATATGAACTTATTACTCTCTAATGTAAAGGAACCACTACGTTCTACTCTCAGACATAGCTTCAGACCAAAGATTTAGGAATTGTAAGGCCTGTCTTATCAAATACCCCTAGTGGTCTTTTTCTATATTTGGTGTCTCTCCAGTAAGACTTTGAACTTCCCCCAGGACAGAGATATTATATCCAATGTTTGCTTCAAAGTAGCTCTATGGTCTTGCTATATTTCTGGGGTAATATTGGTCAGATTCTCATCACTCAGTGCTAGTGCTCTGTTTACCCAAGGATCTCTGACCTTGAGTTCATATAACTGCCTAGGAAACCCTAAAAGGCAGTCCTACTCCGTCATATAGGGTCTCTATGAGTCAGAATCAACTCAACAGAACACAAAAACAACAACCTTCACACCACGATACATATGTGGTCTCCATGAATCAGAGTGACTTGACAGCAGCTAATAACAAATCCATTACACCACAGAAATCGATATGATAATTACCTAGGCAGGTAAATTCCGAAAGGACCAAAATTTGTGTTTACTCTTCAGGGATCAACTTCCGTATATTCAACTACCAAGGACACCAAAACAGTAGAGAATATTGGATGGATATGAGGGACATTTCTTCCAGATTAGGAAATAATCTGAATACTAGTCTTGTCACACTTTCTGTGACAGCTATCATGCTATTCACAGCTAGTGTTTTTCCCCCGGAACAGAGGTCGGAAAACTAAAACATCCCTTGCTCTTCTTCTAATAGTTCCAAAATACTTGCAGTTCACCACTGCCAACATCCTTTTGCTTCTTCATTTTTATATCATCATTCCCCTCATGGGTCATAATTGCCAAAGAATCATCATGAGGAGTATTGTCCAAAGATCCAGCTTCTCCTTCTTTGGAAATTTATAAAATAAAGGTCCATATGGAAGCTTGAATCTCCGTGGTTTTTGGACATCGATGATTGTGATGTAGAAACAGTGACCTAGGACACTTTTTCCTGGGGTAGGAAAAGGTCCAGACAGGAATCAAGAAGTCTGGGTTCCCTGATACCAAAACCAGGCAAAAACACCATACACAAAAAAAGAAAATTACAGACCAATATCTTTCATGAATATAGACGCAAAAATTCTCAACAAAATTCCAGCCAATAAAATTCAGCATCGTATCAAAAAAATAATACACCATGACCAGGTAGAATTCATACCAGGTATTCAAGGATGGTTCAACATTAGAAAATCAATCAACTTAACACACCACATAAATAAAATAAAGGCAAACATCACATGATCATCTCAAACGATCCAGAAAAGGCATTAAACAAAGTCTAACACCAATTCCTGATAAAGACTCTCAATAAAATAGGTACAAAAGGGAAATTACTCAACATAAGGATGGGTATCTATGCAAAACCAACAGCCAGCATCATTCTAAATGGAGAGAAGCTGAAAACATTCCCCTTGAGAACAGGAACAAGACAAGGATGCCCTTTATCATCACTCCTATTTAACATTGTGCTGGAAGTCCTAGCCAGAGCAATAAGGCAAGAAAAAGACATAAAGGGCATCCAAGTTGGTAATGAAGAAATAAAACTGTCCCTATCTGCAGATAATATGATACTATATATGGAAAACCCAAAAGACTCCACAAGAAAACTACTGGAACTAATAGAAAGATTCAGTAGAGTAGCAGGATACAAGATAAACACACAAAAATCAGTTGGATTCCTATACACCAACAAAGAGAACAACAAAAAGGAAATCAGAAAAGCAATACTGTTTATAACAGCCTGCAAAAAAATAAAATAAAATGCTTAGGAATAAATCTAACTAGGGATGTAAAAACATATACAAAGAAAACTACAAAACACTAATGCAAGAAACCCAAAGGGATCTACATAAATGGGAAAACATACCATGCTCATGGAAAGGTAGACTCAACGTTGTGAAAATGACAATTGTACCCAAAGCAATCTACAAACACAATGCGATCCTGACCCAAATACCAACAATATTCTTTAAATAGATGGAAAAAATAATCATTAACTTTATATAGAAAGGGAAGAGGCCTCGGATAAGTAAAGCATTATTGAAGAAGAAGAATAAAGTAGGAAGACTCACACTGCCTGACCTCAGAACCTACTATACAGCTTGGTTGTGAAAACAGCCTGGTACTGGTACAATAACAGAATTGACCAATGGAACAGAATTGAGAACCCAGAAGTAAATATATCGACCTACAGTCACCTGATCTTCGAGAAGGACCCAAAGTCCATCAAATGGGGAACAGACAGTCTTTTTAACAAATGATGCTGGCAAAATCGGATGTCCATCTGCAAAAAAATGAGACAAGACCCATACCTCACACCATACATAAAAAAATAATTCAAAATGGATCAAAGACCTAAGTCTAAAACCAAAAACTATAAAAGTCACAGAAGAAAAAATTGGATCAACACTAGAGACCCTAATACATGGCAGTAACAGGATACAAACCAAACTAATAACATACAATCTCCAGAAGATAACTGGG